TCCAAACTTGAAATCCATTTTTTTCTCGTGTCCATGCATCTTGATGTCGAGATGATTAATTTGAGGATATTTTGGCATCAAAACAACTTCTTCTAGTGAAATTTTTGTGGTGAGTTCTAACTTGATTGTTTAGAGCCTTGCATTTATATAAACTTTCTCTAAGTATAGTTGCTCTGGAACAATTAGGAGATTCTCCAGAAAAAATACGGGGTTCTGATTATGGGGGTAACATGCTATTGGGTGGTGGTCCTGCTTATGGGGTCAAATCAATACGTTCTAAAAAGAAAGATTTGAATACCAATCTCATCGATATCATTGATCTCATAAGCATCATAACAAATCCCGTCAATCCAAACACTTTTTTGATAAATACGAGACATTTAAATTGTACGAGTATAGAGATCTATTCATTGATAAGAAAAAGGAAAAACATGAAAAACGATTGGATTGATGGGAAAATAGAATCCTGGGTCGTAAAGAATGATTTGATTGATAATGAAGAACGAGAATTCTTGGTTCAGTTCTCTACCATAACGACAAAAAAAAAGGATTGACCAAATTATATGGAGTTTGACTTATAATGATCATTTCTCAAAGAATGACTCTGGTTATCAAATGATTGAACAACTGGGATTAATGGGTGAGGTTTGTATAGAGCCGAGGCTCACAATCAAATTAGAGACTACCTTCAAATAGTATCGAGCAATTTGATTTCAATATTGGAAATCTTTGTGATAGCCTTAAAATATATTTTCATTTTTATTTATAACGTTTAAAGCTTTAAAAATAGTGTAGATCGACTGATCTATTAAAACTTGAAAATTTTGAAAATTGGCGGTCAAAAAATGCGTTACAAAATATACTATTTCCAAAACTTGAAATCCATTTTTTTCTGATGTCCATGCATCTTGATGTCGTGTAGCGGAGGTCTAGATGCACGACCGTAAACGGCATGGTCCGTGCTGCATGACCTTAAACTGCACAGCCTCTCCCTCACCAATGGCACTCGTTCTTCCTTCATCTCTCTCTTTCTCTCTCTCTCTCTCTAAGGCAAAGGTTTGGGGAAGACTTAGTGAGCAGCCATTGTTAGAGTGGGTGTGAGCTGTGAAAGAAGAGTTTTTGAGAAGGCACTACTACTGTTCATGTAAGTGGATTCATCACCATTGCATTGTGGTCATAAGGATACATATAGTTTATGTTTATGAGATGAGTAATGAAAGTGCATGTAGTGTGGTAATCTCTTATCCCTTGTTCATTGAAATTTGGAGTTTTTGTTTTATGATGAACTATATAAACTTTTCCCAATATAAATTGGTCCTAGATTTATAAAGAGACCCTTTATCTTTTGTGCATGAAGATCAAAATCATTGCCACTCATTAGATGTCAAATCGGATGGCTTGGGGTGAATCACGAATTCCTAATTTTTTTTTTTGGAACTTTGTTTCTACTCAATGACACTCTTACAAAACCATCCATTTTTAAACATTTAAGGGATAAGAATGCTTGTGACCTCTATGAACAAAAGATAATGGTCTCTTTGTAGACAATCCCTTACAAAAATATGATATTTGACTATAAATTGAAGGTATAAGGTAGCATACATTAGCAAGAATGCATCTAGGATGATGCACCACTTGCCATTGCAAAAAATTAGTGGGTTGATTTTCTGATATTATTACTAGCAATGGTGGCATAAAAATTTCATATTGGAACAGTATAAGTGGTTTCAACTTTCAAATCCATTGGCAATGGGGAAGCATTTTGAAGTCGACAATCTAAACGCGTATCTGGTTTCTTCCATAAACCAACAACACCCTTTCGACAAATGCACAGTCTTGAACATAGATATAGCCCAAGGAATGTAACTTTTGATGTAATAAAGGGAAATAAAATAGAATGTTGACAAATTTTCATGAGGTAAAAACAAATGCAATGTCTCATTCTTAAAGAGTCGAGGAATCCTTTATAGTTTATAATTTGGCTTCTATGCAAAAAGTGCCTTAGCTGCTATGGACTGTAACTATGACATAGTGTACCGAAAAATTATGCAGTCAAGACCTTGGGCTGAGGTGAATCATTTGGGCGAGTCCAAATAACTCATCCGAATCTAACATGAGTAAGAAAAAAAAAAATACAGACAAAAAAGGAAAACTATATTACATAACCTCCCCATTTCTTAAGTTACATGGCATATTGGTTAGGTTAGGTTAGTTTCTCTTAGCATGCCTCTTTATGCTAGGTCTCAGGTTCGATCCTCACGATGGCTCCTTTGTTTAACTTCACTTCTTAAGAAAAGAGCTAAGGCTCCTGAGGTTAAAATAATGACGGCAATGCTTGTGGAGGGTTCAAAGCCTCACCACGATGGAAAATATTGCCTTGCCCAAAGGGCGATACCACAATGACAATTGCGTCAATGTAGATTATGGAACTTGCTTCATGTTTCTAAGTTTTAGAAAGATGAGGTAATTGGTGAATTCGATGGATTCACCATGGGCAAAGTGTTGGGTGGTCAAGAAATAACATACTCATAAGATGAGTGTAGTTAAGATGATGTTATTAAGATAGATGAGTAGCAAGACAATAAGAGACAGAATTTGAAATGAATAGATTTGTGAGAACTTTGGTGTGACTATAGTAGGCAATAAGATGAGATAAAGTAGACTTAAATTGGCTAGCTATGTGCAACGTAAACTTCGTCTAACACCTATTATAATGTGCGAGTTTGTTCAAATTAAAAGCTCAAAAAAGACAAGGTTTAGGTCCAAAAAGACATTGTTGAAAGTAGTAATAAAGATACAAGGATTTATGGTCTCACCGAGGATATGACCCTTGATAGAGTAGAATGACAGACCAAGATTCGTATAATTGAGCCCAAATAGTAGGAAAAAAGGTCTGATGATGACGATAATGATATATATGCAAATAGCTTATTGTAATTGTACAGAACCAAGAGGTGGTCCACACTTCGAATTCTGTATTGAATATACTTGTCAGCTATGGACGAGAGCCACGTCAAAGATGAAATGGTATACACATCAGGTTTGTCAAACAACAAGGACAATTTGACAACTTGGTTGGTGAGTGGGTGGTGGTGTGTGTAGGGATGGGGTCCATGTTCCACAACATATCTACACCATCTTTGCATAATTTCACATGCATGGATATAATAAAGTGAAATTCGATGCTTCGAACCCAGGTTTTATTGAGTATTTCACCGCTACATTTGACATAGGTCTTGTTCACATGCTCCATTAGTGACATATTTCTCCAATTTGGTCTTCTATCAAATGCCACTTGAGGACGACCAGCTGACTCCCAAGGGCCTGAGAAAAAAGATCTAGAGGTTGGGTGTCTGGCAACAATACACTAAGATAAAACATTTGGATGAGCACAAACTCACCTTTTATTACATATTCCCATTCCCTTTCCCGTGGTTGTCCAATCATTAGACCCAGAAGCGAACCCATTCATGATTCCAGCCGGGAAGACCTGGAAAATGAAGAATCAAGAATGTCATATATCTCAGGAGCTAGATCAGTTCCCAATGAAAAAGTAAGAATTTCCTCAACAAAAATTGATGGAATTGGACCTAAAAAAGCCATTCGGGTTCGTTCTCGATTAGATATCAGTGGGAACATAGTAATCCCTCACCGCATCGCCCGACATCCTAGAGCAAATCTATGGCATTCTTCATTGGATACCATTTCTAAAATCAACTGTGACTTTACAAATTGAACCATGCTCTTACCAATCAAAAAATAGAAGAAACTCAACTTTGTTTGAGGAGTTAATGCAAACTGAACCATCTTCACTATATGTGATCCATATATGAGTTAGTCTTGTCGTGGATCATCTTATCGTTATATTTATTAGATATCTACTATAAAATGTAATTTGTCACTTTCTCACGAACATGTATGCTACAGTTTCATGTATAAGTTGATCCTCATTGCTTATAAATTGATTTTCAGTTATCATGGCGGATGATAATGGAGAATCAATTGATGCCTCTGTCTTGTACGACTCAAATAAGCACATATCAAAACTGATTTGGGAGAGGAGGGGAGGTACGTAACATTTTAAACTTCTTTTAATATCACTTGATTATTTTCTTATTTATTATAAGCAATACATTTTGAAATATACTCCTTATTTCTTTTTTTTCGGATTTCAGGAAAGAAATCCATATTGATGATTAGGTTGAGATGTTGTCTTAATATTTGCATGAGTTCAAGTCGGCTTCAATAACTTAACCATTATGTTTAATTTTTTGGTGAAGTACTGGATCTAAGAATAATCTTCTAACAATAACTAAGCCGAAAGAGATCCGACTGGATGAGCCAAGCACCAAGAGGTGGATGAAACCCATTAGCTACACGAACCCTCATCACTTCCAATCTCTGATAGACCGGGACCTTGGTCTACTCCAACCCAACTGTACTCGTTTGATTGCTAATTTTTATTATTTTGGTAATGTTTTTTTCAAAGCATCTGTTCATTTGATTTGCTTTCTATTTTTCCTTGAGAGATTTTATTAGAATTGAGGGTATAACCCCTGATCGAGCAGCATGGTGGATTAGGATGCATGTAGCCTGACTTCAAGAAATTGAAAAATTGTTTTAATGATGATGATGAGATATATTTAAACCGATCCTATACATCTAGGCCTTCACAACTACAATGTGCCCACAATCATAATATATGAAAACATCACATAATATTACGTACCAAACCGCAATATTAAGTAAGGGATCCTCGAACGTCCAAAATCTAAACGGACAGTCCTTCCCGTGGTGTACTATGAACCATATATCACTAGTGTACTATACCATCGTTAATCTGCACCGCCTGTCTTTTGAAATGGACGTTAGATACAACTATTGCGTACTTTCTTTCAAGGAATGCCACGCTCCCGCGATTGGGATTTGAACGATGGATAGCCACACATAATCGAGTCAAACCCAAGGGCCAACTCCCCTTCTCTCTCTCTACTGTCCACTGCTGCTTTTCTCTCTCTAGAGCTTGTACACTCTCTCTCTAGGGCCTCCGGCATCTTCTTTCTTTGTACTCTCTCTCTCTCTCTCTCTCATGGCATCTGCTCTTCTTTCTCGCCCTCCTATCACTCGAAAAAAGTGGTTTGCGTCTTCTTCATTACCGAAGAGGCCACACCTCTCACCACTCTCTGTTTCCTTCAACCCAACTGGAAATTTCGACCTCTCCTATAATACTGATCAAGGTATCATTACTCTTTCTCTCTCTCTTCTAATGCCCAATTTTGCGCAAGCATTTTCATATATTCTATGCGTCGGTTTGCATTATTTTGCATTTAATTCGGCTTTTATCGGAAAATAATAGATTTTAATAGTTGGTATTCAGTAGAAAATATACCCAAACTCTCCACCCCTTCTTCTAATTATTATCTCTCTCTCTCTGTCTCTCTTTTGTTCCTGCTCTTAGTTTCCTTTTGTTTTTCTTTGTGGTTGCCTGCATAATTATTTTTTGTATGGAATGGTTCATGTGAACAACATCAATTTTACTCCCTCTTGGTGAATTATTTTTTCTCTTATAGGTGCTAATTGAAATCAATTGTTGGGTGTTTGAGGTTCATTTAGATTATTGATGAGTGGCTATATAGGTTCTCTTCCTTCTTTGGATTATAGTGCTTAAATATTTTCAATTTCAGTCTCATTTCCTTATAGACGCATCTTATTTCAAAACTACTGGCTCAATTCATACCTTCTAGGTTGTATGTTCTTTATTTGTAACATTTCATTCCTATAGTGGAAAATTGAAAAAAAGGAAAAAGAAAAAAAACCTATGAATTTGCATTTCTGTGGTACATTGCTCTTCTTTGTTTTGCTTTAATGGACTTCAATTTTTGGATATTTTCTCTCATTCTTCAAATTTATTTCTTTACTTGATGCTTAAAACTCCCCGTTAGCTCCACCATGCCATATTCGTTTTATCTCAGACATTGATACTGATTCATCATCATTAGTCAACCACTCCAGAATTTGTTGTTATCAGACCTTTCTTTTTGGTGTTCTTGTGATTTCTTGTTTTGGGAACTTTATGGTTGGCTGGAATTCTGTGCTTCTTCATAGCATTCCACTACTGTAGGCCGTCAATACACATGGAAAAGATTACAGTGCTATTTGTGAGTTCTGGTTGCTTTGATGCCATCATGGATCATTTCTGGTCAATGATATTGTGAAGTTCGGATTCATGATTGACATTCAAAATATTTCTAGCACTTAAGTTATAAAAAATTGATCACTCAAATGGTAAGCATGAGTTCAAAATGTGACTGTATAGAAATTGATCTGTACTCTAGTTGCACATAACACCTATCTGAACTTCTACATCCTAACCTCACTGGAACTAATATCGCCCATGCTGCTATCCTCTTCACCCTATTTGAGGACCTTCTGCTCCCTTTCTTTTATCATCACCACTAAATTTATTTGCAACATGGATCTCCTACCATATTGTGGCTTTTGATATACTGCGCTCTTTAAAAATCAGGCTTGGGCTTGATTGCATAATGCCCAAGTTAGAATCCTGCTGCTGAACTACAAAAAGAAGTGTATAATAAATATTTATCTTGCATTCATTGTTTAAAAAACCAATATACAAGTTTGAGATTTTCACTTCAAGACTTCCAATCTATGACTGTGGCTCAGTATAAAACCTTTTAAATTTCTCAGGTCAGCTTTAGAAGGAGTGCTTTCCCTTGCCCTTCTAGGAACATATATCTCCAGTCATGACATAGTTTACCAGTAGTCAGACATGACTGATGTAGCTAGGTGTAAATACTCACATTTACTTGAGCTCATTGCCAGTGTTCTTTCACATGCATTTTCATCATAGTTTCTTAATCCCTTCCTATGCTGCTCCTCTCATTAATCATATTCACTTTTATTGCTGCAAGTTTAGGAGCGGGTTATTGACTTATTTTAGAAACTAGAAAGTGTTTTTATATAACATGAAATAGGACTAATAGTATTTGTGGATGGGATTCTTTTATGATACATTTTCTCGCAAATCTTTATTTAAAAACTGTGCTGAAATTCTTTGTTTACAGATGCATCTCAAGTTGGACCTCCGTTACCGCCAACAGATGGACGGCTTGAGATAGTACTTGACAACGATATCCTTCGGCGCCTTGACTTATCACCTGTTTGTTCACTTATGGGAGGTATAAATTGATGCCTGATATTTTATAGATTATTATGACCTGATAATTTGCTTGGTGCCTTGGCCTGTATAAATTGATGTAGTTGTTTATTTGTGCGATGCATCTTATCCCACATGATCCTGTTTTACTTATGTCCCTTGTTGCATCCTGGATTGGACTTGAAATTTCATTGCTTTTTCCTTTGTTAACAATAGAAAAAAGGAAAGTATATCATTGTCCAATGGACCACAAAAAGCCGTAATCTATTGATGTCATCACCGTCTGTTGAAGTGGTGGATGATATCGATTAGAGCATTAGACCTACCAGAATAGAGTGCTCCTACCAGTGGTTCCCATTCTTTTTCCATTACCATCCCTCCCTCCATCAAATAGTGATGCTTCAATGACCGTTATTCTATAGTCCACTGGACTAATGTATTTTCTCAGCCAACGATGCAGTCAACCCCATCCTTAGTGAGCCGCTTCCTTATTACTCCCGAGTGGGAACAGATGCTACCCAGGATCCACTCAAGAGCCCTTGAGACCACACTCTAACACTCCCCCATTTTCTTGAGCACGAAATCAGTCCTGTAGAGGCCAAGCCATTCCACTTTGATCTCATGTGGTTCAGAGAAGCTGAGCTACATTCCTCATTCCTGAGTGATAGTCCTCTTTCTCGATGATGGGGTGGGTGGTTCTACTTAAGAAAAAACTTCACCTGCTGGAAAACAAATTAAAACCATGGACCTACCACCAGTTCTGCAGCCGCTGGGAGGAAAAGAAGAGTCTCCTTCAGGATATTTCAACACTAAATCAGGTTGAGGAGGTCAGGGCATTTTCCTCCCCAGAAAGAGCTCGTAGGATGGATCATGGAAGCCAAATTCAAAGCTTCTAAGCAAGAAGAGTTTTACTGCTATCAGCACTCTTGAGTGAAATGGCACAACTGCACAAGAAGGGAGACCAGAACATCTCTTTTTTTCACATGATTGCTACCTGTAGAAGGAGATTAAACGCCATTCTTCAGATCTCCAACAAGGGTCATGCCCACTATGACCCTAGCTGAACTTACATGGTCATAACTTGGTCTTTTAAGAAACTTTTTATAGCTCAGAAATTGCTGTCCTGGGTTTGCAAACTAGAATTTCAGATCCCTCTTTCCTGAAAGGCAGTATCCCTGGAGGCTTCTTTCTTGGAGCTTGAGATTAGGAGAGTGATAGACCAGGATAAGGCACCTGGCTCCAATGGTTTTCCAGTGGCCTTCTTCAATCAACTTTGAGACACCCTAGCCCCTAAAATTCTAGTCTTTTGTGCTGAATTTCACCACTGAGTTATTTCACAAAAGGTATGAATGCTACATCCATTGCTTTGGTCTCAAAGATTGGGGCTGCTGAAATTAGTGAACTCCACCCCATAAGCCTCCTAAATAACTCCTATAAGAAAATCTCCAAGGTCCTGAGTCTCCTGACTACTAAGCTTAGAGGGGTTTTAGACTCAGTAATATCTCCTAATCAAGGGCACTTTTGTCAAAGTTGGCCAAGTCTGTGGGCTGAGCGCAATGCACGCATCCACGACGGGAGGACTTCTAGAGAGCACCTTCTACGGTAGATTACCCACCTCGTCAACAAGCTTGCAGAAGGGAAGGGTTGGGCTTTCCATCCTTCAGAGAATGACATCTCCACAAATCTCAAGCTAAACTAGTCTATGGAGCCCCCCTTACCCCAATCCATGTTGCATGGTCCTTCCCTCGCACGCATCACTTCAAGCTCAAACTTGATGGGTCTTCTCTTGGGAATCCTGGCATAGCTAGTTGAGGGGGAATCATCCGAAATAACACAGGTGATTTTGTGGCGGCCTTTGCAGTACCCCTGGGTTTCACCTCCAACATAGTCGCTAAGTTTTATGTTCTAGATCGAGGCATCGCCTGACTGCTGACCCTTAATAATTGCGAGTGACTCCAAAATGCTTGTTGAATCTCTGACCCAATGCAATAGACCCCATGGAATCTGCGCACACTTTTGTCCAATTGTAGGACCAAGCTCTTTTCCTTTGCAGACCACCAATGGCAGGTCTCTCATGCTTTCAGGGAGGAGAACACAGATGCTGACTGCCTGGCAACATGGGCAGTATCATTGGCAGAAGCAATTATGTGGTGGGCTTGCCCCCTAGATGTTATAGACCCCTTTATCTTGCGTGATATTCCCAATGTTCCATTAGAAAGGGACGTTTGATGATTGTAATTGTAATATGTTCCTTGTTTAGTAATAAAATGGGTAGGGGCTTGTCAACCCCACTGATTTACCCAATAAAAAGAAAAATCTTCACTACTCCATGGACCAAAACTGTAAGATCTCAGGCACCGTGGTCCCTCTTGGTGGTATAGAAATCTGGTCCCCTAGGTTCAGGAGGAACCTCAACAACAGAGAACTACCTCAGCACAGAACTCTTATCTCCCGTCCATGCCTTCTTCTTTCCTGCTTATGGCATGGATAGAGTGCTGTGGGCTTCCTCAACCTCTGTTCTATTTTAAGTTTCATCCTTTTACCATGAAATCAGGGGCCCGTTCAACTGCAATGAGGGCGTGGAACCCAGCTGCTCTTTAGTTGCTTGAATGTACACAAGAAGTACTAACAGTGGACCAACTTAGAAGATGCGGTCTTGTTATACCTTATTGATGTGTCTTATGCAAGGATGACAAAGAAAAAGTCCACATTTTTCTTCACTGCCAGAGAGTAATACCCATATGGAGCTCGCTCTTAAACCTTTTTGGCTGTGAATGGGTTGTCCCGGCACCCATTCAACATCTCTTGCCAGCATTCTTCTCTCCTTCCTTTCCCATGGCGAGCTTGCGGCTTTCGAAAGTATCAGTTCTGAGTCTGCCATGGAACCTTTTGGCTTGAGCGCAATAGCTCAAAGGCAAGAGATGACATCTGAGTCTGTCTTGTTCTGTCTTGAACAGCAGCAAATCCAGTATTCTAGTCAGCCACTCAATGGAAAGAATTCAAAGCATTCACTAGATTGGATTTCCTGTTAAACAGGGAGTCGACAGTGAGGATTCCCTGGAGATGCTACCCCCCTAGATCCTCATACTGTGACCCCTCCCAAATCAGGCTCGGTGAAGCTAAATTTGGATGGCTGTTCACTAGGAAAGCCTGGCCCGGCTTGGGTTGGGGATATTTCGGAGACAGCCATGGCTCCATTATCTTATCCTTCTCAGGACCTTTCGGCATTGACACTTTGACTATTGCTGAAGCCTTGGCACTCCTCCAAGGTCTCAAATTTTCAACCCTAGCTGGGCCTCGCCCTAGCGTCGAGGGGTAGAGTCGGGCTAACCAAGTGTCCATGTTCCCTTGGAGACTGCACCAAATTTATGCATAGGTCTTCAAACTTTGTGCCTTGATAAACATCTTTTAGCATGTTTAGAGTGAAGCCAACACTGTTGTGGACCAGCTGGCCAAATAGGGAGCTCAACAATAGTCTCATGATTAACTGTCCTGCCCCAGTCTAGACAGTCCTGCAAGGACCATCGTCTGCTTTCTTGCTCATTTTGCACAACCTTCTCTCTCAATGGAAATGTTGTATAGTCTACTCCTGTCTGGAGGCCATTTTGTAAGGTCCGAACTTACTTTTTGGCATTTGGTTGACCTTTTGGTGCTCTTTGTACGTAGTCAACAGCGACATAACACACATCTAGTAAATTGGTACTATACAGTCAATAAGAAAAATGAAAAAAAATTGGCATTGATTTTCATTTAGTGTGTCTCATCACATGGACTGTTTGTGCTTGCAGAAAGCACTCAAGCAATTGATCCAAAAGAGCTTCTTCAGAGGACTGTCGGATTCACCATAAACTATGAAAGGGAGGATTCAAGTGATCCACGTGAACTATCTGAGTTTCCTGAAATCAGGCTGTGGTTTGTGAGGCTCGATGCATCACTTCCTTGGTTGCCCGTTGTGTTGGACTGGAGAGCTGGAGAACTTGCTCGATATACTGCAATGCTCGTCCCTCATCAGGTATGATTCACTGCCACATTTTCAATCAACGAAAGTATACTGTAATCCAGTGGATCATGTAAGTTCGCACTCCATTGGTCTCATCATCATTCAATGAAATGATAGACTGTGATGAAGAGAAAGTGTGAGTTGTGATCATCCAGAACAGGGCATGACCCCAAAGGTGGGTCCCACTTTGCATCATCACCTATCATTTCATTGGATGGTAATGACCACTATGGTTTTCATGGTCCATGGGATTATAGTGGAGTTTTTGTTTGTTCAATCATCTCTTCTTAATGAAATCATGTGTTGCTGGTCTTTCTATTTATGGAGGAAATGTTCTGCAGATGAGTTTAAGATTAGGTGTTGTGTTCAACCCAGAGGCATTGGAGTTATTTGTAATGAAAAAGGTCTTTATTGTTTACTCTTGGTTGAAGCACCACAATATTCCCAAACCTAAATTGAAGACGAGCGATATGGCACGCATGCTTGGATTCGGGATTGGAGACGAACTCTATGACTTAATTGATTCCAACCCTGCCCTACCATCATGAACGAAAACAATGGCATAGGAAGTTGCAATATTATATTAGTCCAAGATTTTGAAGTGCATCGGAGTCATACTCAAACCAAGGTTGCAGTTTCAAACCCCATACTCTCACCATTTGCAACAAAAAATGAATTCGGGGGAAACAGAGAAGGTTTTGATGCATATTGTATCATAATGGCACATGAATATATGGTCTGAGGAAATAGCAGATGATCCATCAAGGGTAGATGTATTCTTCAAACTGCATGCTTACTTTGGCACAGTGATGCATTGTTTGAGAGAAGAACAAGTGACAATGTGCTGTTGGGTGCGGGTGTTTTCTCAACTAGGAAGCATTGTAGCATCTTAGTGGTTCTTGAGAAAGATGGATTTGCCTTAGAGTTACAAATACTTCATTGAGCTAAACAAGAACAGTCCAGGAGCACTTTATGGCCTCAGTTTACATTTTTGTTTCTGGTATGTAAGTAAAATGAATCTTTTGTATTGGCTAAAAGCATGTGGTTTTCATCTATAGTGACTAGTTCAACTAGAAGGTGCTTGCTGTTACAACCTCGAGATTTTTGTATTACTGAACAAAGGGAGAAAAAACCATCAAATTGCCTGAGAATTCTTTCACACCCACTTCAATAGAAAAGTTCTTATGAATGGTATGACCACCTTTAACATTTCACGTACACCATACTCTTCAATGATTTAGAAGCATTTTGAATGCCTGTTTACACTAGAAAGCGTGCAGATGTCATTATTGAATTAGATCAGGAGGTGTTGCAGTTCACATCAGAGATGGCTGATGCAAAGGGGTATTTCTATTACAAGTTAACATCCAGTATGATTATATTTTCACAATTCTTTGAATTATTGTACCTCTATAAAGAGAAATACAATTAAGACCCTATCCCGATGTCACCCAAAATACATATTGGAGCTGTTGGGGCAACAATTTAGGTGATGACCATGAGAGAGAGAGAGATTTACTTGGGCCATTCCGAGACAAAAAATGCCAGATTTTGCTAACTTTGGGACAATAGCATAGGTGTTTTTTTAGATAGTTCATGGAGATGGAGTTTTCTACATGTGGTAGGAATGAAACTCATGATGTCATATACGTTGTGGTTACCTACTATCCTAACCACCTAGCCTTGAGCACGATCTTGAATAGTATAAATTGAAAGAACAACTATACAAGGTAAATTTTTGAGTACTAAAATGGTGATTTTGAGAGAGAATAGGTAAAGGAAAAAAGCCTAAATAATTAAATTAAGGCACTCCTCAAAAATTTACTAGAAGAGTATTTTGATGTCGAAAAATCCCCAAATCAATCATTTGGACCTCTAAATGTATAAATATGAAAAAAAAAAAAAAAACGTTTTAAGTCTTGAAAATAGTTGCATCTTGTAATGCATTATCTAGACCATCAATTTTCAATACTTTCGAGTGTTTATAGATCTGCTCGATCTATACTATTTTTAAAGCTTTAAATTTTATAATTAGAAATGAAAATAAATTTAAGGCCATCATAAAGAATTTTGCTACTGAAAAATAATCTTGACACTATTTAGGGGTACACCTTACTTTGATTGTTTAGAGCCTCAGCCTTATACAAGTCACATCCATAGATAAAATGGCAGAATAAGAGCAATTAATCATTTGGAATCAAGATCGTATGAGACAGAAATGTAATAAAAAGAAGGGATCTCCCTGTGAATAATGCAAATTTTTCATTCAAATATTGAACCACTGGAGAATCACCTGATTTTTAAAAAATCATACTATTCACTAATTTTAGGCTAAAGTATCTCAATTTGCTACAGTGAACCAGGCAGATTTCAACAACTCGGGCCAGTTCACTGGTTCGGCCAATCTAGAACTGGTTAATAGGAAACCCAGGTCAGATCGGGGAAGCATGTGACTTTTTAAAACACTAGAACAAAAATCGTTCCAATTTTCATGTACTCGAGTTTGAAGGCACATAATTTTCCATGTTCAATCCAAGAACATGGATGCAACGCAAATATGCAATTGTATAGCATCAAATAAATTACATTTATACTCCAATATGGAAAAACCAATATGGAAAAACCCAGTCTTCAAAGCAATATCTATGAATAAGTAAACAGCATACTTCTTTTGATTCTCTCTATTTTCAAGGTAGAATTTTGGAAGAGTAAAACTTTCTTTATGTAACTACATATGTGTTGTATTTTCCGCCGATAAAATGATATTTTTCAACAATACCACAATGATTATACATCCCCATCAGTACACTTCCCACCAAAAACCTAGAAAGAAAACAAGAAGACCAAAATCCATGATGGTCGTTTCCTTTACGTGTCAGGATTCTAGCTTGTGCTTCATTGATTATGGTGTTGATGGTTGCAATATTATGTCCAACGTTTGAATGCAAATGATGAACTACCAAAAAGTTGTCTTAAGGCATTACAAATCCTAGCCATGTTCTTTTGAATGGGGAGCCCTCTTTTGAATGGGGAGCCCTTCCTTGCTCGATGCTTTGAACCTCACAAAATGTCCGTACTGGATCGTCACTTTTCTACACTTTTAACTTCAACCAATAGGGGAAAAAGAAACCATAAGGTTAAAAAATAAAAGAGAAACAAGTAAACTGAATAGTAATCTGTATATACCTGAAGGAATCATACAGAGACTGAACAATCTATGTAGGAGCGTCTTCTGTTTTGCCTAAATGCTTTTGGATGTCCTTAAATGAGACGGTTGCAGAGCCTCTACTCTTGGCTTTCTGCTGAGAAGGGTGCTCCCTCCATCCAGTCATATAAATAACCTAGAAAGGACACTATGAATATTATAAAAAAGGTACATACTACTAGCTCGAAGGAAGTATCTGATATGAGATAATGTGAATATTTAACCTGAAAAGTTGCTGGG